GGCTGCCTGTTTGGAGTAGCCCAGTTAGGTGGGCCAGAGTCTTCTGAGTTCCTCGGAACTGAGTTACTCTTTCCCTAAAGCTGGACCTCACCGCAGCCTGCTCTATTCCTTCCCACCCGCAGGTGGTGTTTCCTTACACGAGCAAGAGCTGTATGAGGGCCGTGCTGGAATACCTGTACACCGGCATGTTCACCTCCAGCCCCGACCTGGACGACATGAAGCTCATCATCCTGGCCAACCGCCTCTGCCTGCCACACTTGGTCGCCCTCACAGGTAACTAAGCTCTGGGGCCTCCCGGGAGGAGGAGTCGGGGACCCCCAGGAGTCATGATTTCTTCTCTCACCTGTCTCCTCCTAGGGGACAGGCCACGAGCACCCAGGGAATACGTTTACATAAAGTGAAATACGTCGGTGCGTACTAGGGTTTGGGTGAGGACATGGATGTAAAGAAACATGTGAGAGGGGCGCTCGGTGGGATCACCTTATAGGCTCTCTCCAGAGGGCATCTTGGCCCAGCAAAGTGGGCTCCAGCAGACGCCAGGGCCTGGTGTTCTTATTAGCTTGGCCGCACTCATGCAAGCTTAAGAAGTCAAAAAGAAAAGAACACGTTCCTCATCTCTCCCCTTCCTCCTTCCTTTCTTTTTCCTTCTCCTTCTTCTCCTTTCCCTCTTCCTCCTTCTTCTCTTCCACCTTCACTTTCCCTTTCTTCTTCTAGAAATAAGACAGCAAACATTGACCTGCCGCTCCTAATTCCTTGATTCCTTGTAGATCCTGAGAGCTCGAGCTCAGCTTTCAGGATGGACCAACCTCAGAGATGGGTTGGAGCAGGGACTGAGGCAGGAGGGAGACCAAGGTGCAGGAGCTCGGGGTCCAAGGGCTGGAGGAGAGATGGCGCCATCCCGGTGAGGGGTGTCTGGGGTCTGCTGATGTTGGAGTCGACATTTGCATTGCGTTGGTGTCGGCGTTGCTACCTGTACTGGTGTTGATGTCGAGGTTAGTATTCTTGGGCGGGTCAGGGGGCAGAGAGCAGGGCCTCAGATACAGAGTTGGGGTTCAGGGAAGGACCCGGTGTCAGAGCTGCTGGGGCCCTGGGCAGATGATCCAGGCTGGGACTGAGCTATGAGGGAAGCAGTGATCCCATGATGAGAAATGAGTTGGAAGGTGGGACTTGGTCCCAGGAAGAAGGGAGAAATCATTGATCAGAACCAAATGTGAAGAGCTGAGCCTTAACATTCAGGAGCTCAACTCCCTCTGCAGAGGGAGTCCAGGGGACACCAAGGGCTTCAGGGCAGGGAGCGAGAGAGAGGCTTCTAAAGCTTACAACTGCAGACTTCCCTGGCGGAGCAGTGGTTGGTTAGGACTCCGCACTTCCACTGCAGGGGGGCACGGGTTCGATCCCTGGTTGGGGAACTAAGATCCTGCATGCCACACAGTGTGGCCTGTAAATAAATAAATACATAAATAAATAATAAAGGTCAGAGCTGCAACAATATGTCATCCATGGTCATCCATGAAAAAGTGCTGTGGCCTTCCCAGAGCACAGAAAACTGTCCAAACTCTTAGACCGAGTAATTCAACATTTGAAAGGCTATCTACAAAGAAATGACCCACATGAAAAAAAACGTCTAAAGGTGTTTAAGTTTGTTTCATCATGGCAGGCGATCAGATACAAGTCAAATAGACACCATTGGTTAAGCACACGTGGGTAATTTTCACAAGGTAGCGATGAAAAATGTTAATCACTGCTGCGTGGAAAGGCTTATAGAAAATAACACTGAATGACTTTTCCAGTGAAATGCTCCATACGTGCCGAGAAACATATTTAAAAAATGTGTTGTGTATGTACCTTGTCAAGGATCAGTGGAAAATGCCAAGTATGGTGTAATAAGTGGTGCTTTGTGTTTAGTGATATATGCTTCCTATGAAGTTATTAATTCAAGCTTAAAAATTTTTTTAACATTTATTTATTTATTTGGTTGCACTGGGTCTTAGTTGTGACAGGTGGGCTCCTTAGTTGCGGCTTGCCGGCTCCTTAGTTGTGGCGTAGCAGTGGCATGTGAATTCTTAGCTGCAGCATGCGTGTGGGATCTAGTTCCCTGACCAGGGATCGAACCCGGGCCCCCTGCATTGGGAGCGTGGAGTCTTAACCACTGCACCACCAGGGAAGTCCCAAGCTTAAATTTTTTTTAATGTTAAATATAACACAAATACACATAATATATGGTCAGCTTAATGAAGTATTACAAAGCAAAGGGACCCTTGCCGGCCATACCAGAAGCCCTTCACCTGTCCTTCCCAACCACAGGCCCTTCCCCCGTCCCCAGGAGGAACCACTCTGCCTATTATTCTTTTTTATGGCCTCACTTCCTTACACTTCCTCATAGTTTTATCATCCAAATGTGCATATCCTTCAACACTATAGCATGATTTTATTTTTTATATATCCTTTAAGTGTTTTCTTTTTTAATCTATAAGTACCTTGTCCATGAAAAAAACTTGCCCTTGCAACTTGTTGGAAAAACCCCACTCATCTAGGAAATCTAGATTTTTTTTACTGATTGCGTTTCTATAGTACACCATCTTTCCTGTAAACTGGCCATTGGATCTAGAGGCTAGATCGGATTCACATTCAGTTTTCTTTTGGTAAGACTACTTCATACATTGTTTCTCTTTTTCATCAAGAAGCATAGATTGTCTGCTTTTCTCTCTTTTTGTGACGTTAGCAACCATTGAATGTCATTGCCTGGATCCATTAATTTATTAGGTGTTGTGAAATGGTAATATTCCAGTTCAGTCATTTTTTTCTTTATCTGTTGGAATACTTCTAAAAAGAGAGAAACTTGCCCTCACCTACTGTTCATTTACCCAGTGGTATAGTTCATGTAAAGCAGGCAGGTGAATGCTTGATTCTTTTATTTACCAGTTTTCAAGATACATTTGTTTTCCTATCATCCTTTGAGAGTGACCAATTAGTTTCTTATTATTAAGTATGCTTATGAACTCTCAGATTTGAACATACTCAGTTGGTTTCAAATAACTGCAATTAGCTTTATGGAAGCTCAAATACCCTACTGCTCCCTTAGCCTGTAGGAGTCTCTTCAAGTTGGCTGCAGAGTCTCTGAGCTTTCTGATTATCAGGAATGACAAGATGTTCCAGGTTCCTCTTGTACATTTCCTGCCCCAGACCTGGAATCAGCCATTTCTCTAAGAAGTCCTGGTTTCTTGTAGCTGGAAATGGGATTTCAAGGCTGCAATCTGTGCATTAGAGATGCTTTTGCTATTGGGATGGCTCTTGTCTCTAGGTCTTTTCCATGGACTGAGCTGGGAAATATATTTTTAAAGATAAAATACTTTATGAGTTTATAGTGATACAGTTAAAATTCAGGACTAAGAGTGTTTACTTCTTCCATAGAAACGTTTTAACATGAAATGCAAGGTCAGTACACAATTTGTTACAAAATTTAAATCAATACGCACAACTTGGTTTAATCCTTAGTTCTAATTCATAGTTCTCAGCAAACCTGAGGTTTAATACCCTCTCCCATCAGTTTCAGTGGCTGCTCTGGGGGCGGGGGCTTTCACCCCACCTACGTAACTACTTGGTGCAACATACGTAGCTTGAAAAATCCTTTTAGGTGATTCTGATCTCCTTCACTTCCCACCTCCACTCCACCTGGAAAGTCTTGCACTAATCCCAGTTTCCTCACTGGTAGCAGCAGACTTATATCTCCTGTGGCCTTTCCTGCCCTGTTGGGACTCACCCCTTTGCCCTGCAATGGGCCCCTGCCAGGGGGGATAAGCAAGTGCCTGTCCACTCCTGTGGTTCTTCAGCCCATTCCTGGCTGTGTGTGTGTCACAGAGCAATACACAGTGACCGGGCTGATGGAAGCAACTCAGATGATGGTAGACATCGATGGGGACGTCCTTGTGTTCCTGGAACTGGCTCAGGTAGGATGGCAGGGGAAGGAATCTCTCCAACATTCTCAGCTTTGGGCTCTGCCTGCCCATTTGGCAGCGAATGGGGAGGGGCTGGGAGGTGGTGGGTAGGAAGGGAACCCACTGTCAGACTTGGTTCCCTGAGTGGGCAGAGCCCATCTCATCCTCCAGGCCAGAGGATACACCCTGCCCCGCCAAGAGGAGAGGCTGGCCGTGGCGGGGGAAGGGACAGAGACTTCAGAAAACCGTAGGACAGGGGAGGGAAGCCCAGAATCATGTATAGACGTGGTTGCTGCCTGCTGAGGTCATTTAAGGCACACTGAGGACTCTCCATCTAAAATGAACTTCCCACCTCCATTTTCCCAAACAGGCAAGCAAAATCTCCCACACTGGCCCTCCGGGTGCCAGAAATTCTACCGGTAAAGATTAGTTTACAAAGTTAAAGCATGGCAGACACACCTGGGAAGTCAGTTTTCTAAGCCTGGTTGTCAGCACCTCAGTGCAGGCTGCTTTGGCCCCTGACAGCGGAGAGGACGAGGGGTCATATCTGAGGAGGGCAGACACGGCAGGATGCCGCCACACAGGAATGTGGATTTCTGGGGCTGCCGGGGACAGGTCGGAGGTGAGGTGGTGGTCGTGACAGTGCCGAGGAGCAAATCCAGCGTCATTCCCTTATGGTCTTGTGTGGCCTTGCCTCTCGAGGTGCCTCTCGAGTCTTTATGACTTCAGGGCCTTTGCCCACCTGTGCCAAAGCTTTGGCTCTGAAGGCAACTGTAGATGTCTGTGTGCAGACCCCGCCCCTGGGGTCCCAGCACAGATGCGCTCCCGTCTGTTCCCAGTTCCACTGCGCGTATCAGTTGGCTGACTGGTGTCTCCACCACATCTGCACCAACTACAACAACGTGTGTCGCAAGTTCCCACGAGACATGAAGGCCATGTCCCCAGGTGAGCACCCCCGGCTGCACCTGTGCTCCTCCGTCTGCTTGGGTCCAAATCTCTGACCTGACCCCAGGGCACCCGGAGACTGCCAAAGACCCTTGGGCCTAACTTGACCTTGTGGGTGGGGAGCAGCCTGCAGAGGTGCATCCAGCCAGGCAGAGGGGGGCCCGGGAAAAGTGCCGGCGTGGAGGGCAGGGCTCCCTCGGGGACCTTGGGCAACTCACTTTGCCCCTCTGGGCTTCTGTTCCTCCTAAGTACAGTCAGACTAGAGTTGGTATTTTTCAGACCTTTTTGGATCAGACTCCACAGTAAGCAGTACATTTTACCTTGTGACCCAGGACACATATAGAAAAATATCTCAATTGTTTTTAATGCTACTCATGACCCATGACATTAATTTCATAACCTAGGAATGGGCACAAGTCACAGCCTGGGCAGCACAGGTCTGGGTATCCTCTGGGATCCCTGCAGCTTGGCCTCTGCTTAATTGACGTCTCAGGTCCTGGGGCCCACAGGAAGCGCATGGGCTCCAGGGAGAGGTGTCGCCGGCCTCCCCGAGTTCCTGCCGCTCCGTCTTGAGGTCTTCGCTGGGCGCCCTCCGCTCTGCTGTGACCCCCTCCCCGCTGGCAGCCTCTCGCTCTACGCTGCCAGTTCTCCCACCCCCATTCTCTCCTCTTCACCCTTCTAGCATTTTCTTTCTGAAGCACAGCTCCAATCGCATCACTCCCCCGGTTCCAAACTCCCGTGGTGCTCCCCCGGCCTTCCAGAATAGGTCCAAACCCCTCAGTCCAGCCTGCCCTCCCGTCTGACCTCCTGCAACACCCCCATCCCCACTTGCCTTGGAAACCTCAGCCCTGCCAGCCACCTCTGCTGTCGCCCCAGCCAAGCCGAGCATCTTCTTGCCAACAGCTTTGCTTGCCCTTTCTCCCCCATCCTTTGCCTCAGCCTGCTTTATTCTCAGCACACACTAAAGCCCTGTGTAGATCTTCCCTCTGTCTTTGAAGAATAACACAAGTGGGAATGCCTTTCCCCGGCACGTACTGTCAGCCCCACTCCCTGGGCACCTGACTCTCTTTAGGGGGCTCTGTGAAGGGATGTGGTCCTTGCAGGACCGAAGGCCGTCTGTGGGTCCCGTGGCAGCAGGGCAGGGGTGGGAGTCCCTCTTGCCCCTTCTCCTGACATCCTCCTCGTCAAGCCCTACTGCGTTCTGCTCCAGAAAACCAGGAGTATTTTGAGAAGCACCGGTGGCCGCCTGTCTGGTACCTGAAGGAGGAAGACCACTACCAGCGGGCCCGGAAGGAGCGTCAGAAGGAGGACTATCTCCACCTGAGACGGCAGCCCAAGCGGCGCTGGCTGTTCTGGAACAGCCCTTCCTCGCCGGCCTCTTCAGCCACCTCCTCGTCCTCCCCATCTTCCTCCTCAGCTGTGGTCTGAGATGCTGCCACCCTCTTCTGACCCCGCTGCTGTTGCCCCCACTTGTTCTTGCCCCTCTGCTCTTCTGCATCGCCCCCTCCACCTTCCAGGGACAAAGGACTCACATAACCGGGACCCTACGGGGAGGAGCTGCTCTCACCAGCCAGCATAGCTCAGCAGAGAGAGGAAGGAGCCAGGCCTCGTGGGTCGGAACAGGCGCCCGGGGAGAGGTCCCGATTCCTCAGCAGGGCAGGAGACGGCTCCTGGGAGGTGGGGAGCGGGGAAAGGGCTGAGGGCTGTGGCCTCTGGTCTCTGGGTTGGAGAGCCCTAGAATCAGAGGGAAACTCTCCCAGCCGTGAGGCCGTGTGTCTTGGTCTGCGGAGGCAGCCTCCTCCCTGTGAGCGGCCGTGAGCAGGCAGGGTCCTACCTCTGTTGATCGGGTGTTTGCATCAGTGGACTTAGAGGGTTGCAAATGTTTTGTGGGCATTTGCACGTGGAACCTACTCAAATCCTCACTGGAGAAGTCAGGGTAGAAATTAAGCCTTCAGAACCCAACTCAAGGTTTCCACCCCTGGGGTGCGGCTGCCAGAGGCCGCAAGTGGAAGGCTGGCCCTCTGCCAGCATCCCTCCCAGGGCTGTGGGCATCCAGGCCTGAGAAGGGTGGCAGAGGTTGCTCAGAGCTGCAGGCCTAGAAGCAGCACCTCTTGGTGCAATGAGAAACTTCTTCCTCCCCCTTCCTTCACCGCTCAGATTTGGAGATGGAAACGAAAGGAAACAGCTGGAACAGGGGGAGAGAAGGAAGGGAGTGATGGGGGCCTGGGTACAGCAATCCCATGCTCCTTTGGGCTCCTCCCCCTGCCTCTGGTTAGCACGGCTTCTCGTGGGGTAAATTTAGCAAAAAACCCCATACAACAATGAACAGAATCACCACCAACAAAAACATTGTCGCCTCTATCCCCTCAAAGGAAGAAAGACAGAAAAAGTCCCTGTATGGCTTACATTTCTATAAAGCCAAACAGGGTTCCCCATGTGGATGAGGCAATGGTTGAGACGGTAGAATTGACTCCAGTGCTTTTCAGGAAAGCAGTGTCGCCGGCTGTGACCAAGGACGCTCCGGCCCTGCTGGTTGACCCTGGGCAGCACGTTGCATGCCCTCAGCATGCCGGGGATGAGGTTTCGGGGGTGGGGAGGGTGGGCCCAGGAATCTCTGTGGCGTTGGAGCCGTGCGTTCGCCCATCATGAGAATCGGGCTATCCTCACCTTCATCAGGTAACTCCATAACATATGAATGTGGTGGAGGGATGGGGTGTGGTAGGGGTCAAAGGTCAGGAGAAAGGCACTGACATGGAGAATAGGAGACCCTGTAATGAAGGATCATAGCACATGGCCTCACTCAGTGCTGGCTGGTGATAAAAGGGAAGGAGAAAAAATGGGGGAATTGAACAGGAGCGAAGCCAAGGTCAGTCCAGAGAAGGGGAGGGAGGAGACTGGAGGACTGGAGGATTAAGACAGTAGCTTTGGGGAAAAGCTGGGTCGCAACTGACCCTCTCCACATTTTCTAATCCTGATTCGTATTTCACTCCCCACACCCTTTGTAGATTTAGAAGACGGAGCCCCTCTGATGAAGGTGGAGCCAGAGAGACTGAGCTCCTGGCCTCAGAGCTCAGGAATCACCTCGTCTAAGAAAGATGCTTTAGGAAGAGGAACTGGTTTTCGGTCCCAGGGCCCTAGGTGGGCTCCACCACCAAGAGGCTGGCTTTAGGTCTGGGATAGAGCAAACCCGGAAACAATGGAAACTCTGCATCAATTTTTTGGTGCCAAGACCTAGGGATTTGAAATTAAGTCCTCGTCAAGAGAAGGAGCAGGAGGTGGCAGGTCAAGCGGGTCTAGAGTGACTGTGCCCCGTGTTGTCGGAGCCCCAGACTTGGAGGCCATGGCTGCCTCCCCTCCAAGTCGTCCTCCAGGGGGCGGGCCGGGAAAGCAGACGTTTGCTGCCCTCTAGTGGCCGGTTAGCTCCTTGCCGCTGAGCTCGGGGCGAGCCTGAGGAGCAGTGGGCGGGGCAGAAGGGGAGCCTCCAAGGTGGGGGGTGCAGCTCTGCCCCCAGCACCTTCACTGTGGGGGGGGGGGACAGAGGAGGGGCCGGGGGGCCTCCCGGGAACTCTAGGTGGGTGGGAGAGCCAGGGCCCGAAGTCCAATGGCAAGGGAATTGGGGTTCCATGAGGTTGCAGGGCTGAGCCACGGGGCCCACTGATGAGGATGCAGAAAGACCAGCGGGGACAGAAAGGGAAGGTGGCCCAGGAGCTGCAGGAGGCCCCAGGTGAGGGGTCACAGAATGACCCCAGCAAGCAGGGCCCCACCCCCCCTTCCCACCAGCTCTGTCAGAGCCGGTCTGCACCTCAAGGGAGCCCAACGGGCCCAGGTGTGGCCCAGAGACATCACCTGCGGAGGCTGTGGGGAAGCTGGGCCAGGCTGAGGTCCCTCCCCCAGGGGAAGGGCAGGGAGAAGGGGCTGGATTCCAGGAACCTGGAGCCCGGAAATCCAGAGTCAGAGCAGGAGACACACCCATGCAGGGCGAGCTTGAGCCCGAGGCATAAAAGGGAGAAGGATGGAGCGGGCCACACAGCAAGAACACACACCCCTGCACCCGGGTCACTCCAGAGAACAGTAGGATGGGGGAGAAAACACACACACACGCCTCTTTTTATATAAAATTGCATATTTAATTTGGTCATGAATTCATAAACACATGAATATTTTGTACCTAATGGCCTTTCTTGTATTGTTTGATATTTCCAACAAACTCTTCTAAGGTGGGAACTTCCAACGGAGAGGAGCATGAAAAGATACCCAACCACTAATGAAACACTTATTAAGTGCCTATCGTGGGTCAGGTGCTATTTGGACTGGATATAAAACAAGACAACTTCATGCTCTCATTCAGCTTACCTTAAATAAATAAACATGACAAACACTGACAAGGCTAATACTTTAGATGGGCACTTAAGGAAGTCCTCCAAGAAAGGAACAAGTGAGGTGAAACGTGATTGGCAATAATTCACTTATTTCTCCCTCTGAAGATGAATGCAGTGTCCACAGATGGAACAGCAAAGGCAGGAAACGCCTGACTTCCAGGGAAGGGAGGGGCAGCAAAGTGTGAGCTCTGGAAGGAACAAGGAAAGGGCTGCAGCACCAAGGCCACCGAGGTAGGACCCCTACCAAACTCCACTAGAACACCATGCCCTGAACATGTCTAAATACTCAGCCAATTCTAGTTTGGGCCCAGCCATACCACTCTTGGATACACAAAGTTCTGAGATGGAAAAGACCAAAAACTTGAGAATTACTACTTCCATAACATTATCTTGCCACGACTGGAATACTACAGAGATAGGTGGGGTGGAAGGAGGGCTGAAGTGGTTACAAAATATTTTTAAAAGTAAGAGAAAGTGGTCTACCATCCCTCCGCTGAGGGTGCTGCCATGCATCTTCCTTATTTAGGCAGAGCAGTCAAGTGAGGAAACCTCCCACCAAGCGCTGGGAGGGGCGAATGGAGGAGAGGAAGAATCACAAAGGGAAGCCAGCTTGCAAGCCTTTATTCTCAAAACAAGATTGCAATATAGAGATTGACCAAGATAGCAGAGTAGAAAGACCCTGAGCTCGTGTTCTCTCGCACCCAAAATTACAACTATTTGCAAAACAACCGTTGATGAAAAAGATCGGAACCTACCAGAATAGATCTTCTGCAACTAAAGACAAAAAGAAGGAACCACAATGAGATGGGTTGGAGGGGGCAGACTCACAGTGTAATCATGTCCCATACTCCTGGGTGGGCAACCCACAAACTGGAGAATTCTATTGCAGAGGTTCTTCCACAGGAGAGTTCTGAGCCCCACACCTGGCTCTTCAGCCCAGGGGACCTGCACCAGCAAGATGAGCACCCAGAGCATTTGGCTTTCAAGGCATGCAGGGCCATTAATTTTGGGTGTCCCAGAGGACTGGGGGAAATAGAGACTTCACTCTTAAAGGGCACACATAAAATCTCATAAAATGCACTGCGACCTAGGGCAAAAGTAGTAATTTGATAGGAGCCTGGGCCAGACCTACTTGCTTGTCTTAGAGCACGTCCCAGAGAGGCAGGGCATGGGTGCGGCTCACCCTGGGGACGTGGACGCTGGTAGCAGCTGTACTTAGAAGCTCCTTCTACTGCTGGACACTGGTGCTGATAGGCATCATTGTGGGATCCTCCCTCTAGCCCATGAGCCCCAAGAGCTAATGAGTTGGGTGGGGGTGGCCAGCCCCACCCAACAGCCTGTAGGCACCAGTGCTGGGATGCTTCAGGCCAAACAGCTAACTGAGCTGGGACACAGCCCCAGCCATCAGCAGACAAGCTGCCTAAAGACTTCCTGAGCCCACAGACACCTGTAGGCGTGCCTCCAGATATGACACTGCCCACCAGAGGGCCAAGACCCAGCTCCACCCACCAGTGGGCAGGCAGGGGTCCTGCCCTCCAGGAAGCCTTCACTAGCCTCTGGATAGCCTCACCCACCAGGGGACAGACACCAAATGCAAGAAAACCACAATCCTGCAGACGGTACACAGCAGGCAAGACCCTGTCTGTCCTGGGAACAGCTGGGACCCAGTCCTGCCCACTAGCAGGCCAACACAAGCTTCAGGACACCCCAGACCCCATACCCAACTGTGTCAGGAGCTAGCTCCCCTGCACCAGCGATATGACACCAGCTCTGGAATTCCTGGGCCCTGCAGCAGACCCCAGGACAGAGCTCTGCATGCCAGTAGTCTGGCACTAACCCCAGGACCTGGCTTCAGCCACCTGACTCAGGACTTAGTGGCCTGGCAATAAGCCTTGAAGCAATGCTCTAGTCATCCTTCCTATGAATATGCCTGACACAGAGTCCTTGTGCAGCCAACGGGATCCCAGGAGGCCTCACAATGCACCCGCCCCAGCCTGCAGAACCCATGATAATGTGGTAAATTTCCCATTTAGCACATATCCAATATGGACTAGATGCCATTCAAAGGGTTCAGTGCAAGTTCTTTCCAAACCTGGCATTGCCCAAATATCCTGAACCCTCACTGCAGGTGAGCACAAATGGACTCGTATGCACATAAACACTGGGATGCCGCTGGCTGGAGCCAGGACCCTGCACAGGAACTCCCTTCCCAAGATGATCTTGGGAGGCCTCAAGAAAGTGTCTTCCCAGCATCCACACCTGTCTAGGCATTGCCTCACTCCCTGCCTCTGGCCATCCCTCTGGCTGGAGCTCTACCATTGAGGTACCACCACACCTAGCTCTGTGTCCACCAGCATCAGCCCTTAAAAGCCCAGCATTCTCTGGACGGGGGAAGACAAATATTCCCTCCCTTGGTGGCAAACTCGGCTATGGGGTCTCGGGCAAGGTTGCTCAGGCCCCTGGCTGTCAGTGACTCTCCACAGGATCAGGGGAGCTCAGGCAGTTCAGCTGGACTAGTAGCCACTCCACTGGTCCTAAGCTCCTATTTTCCTCCCAAACACAGCAACCTCAGGCTGGCTGGGCCCTGGGGTCCTCGCCTTCATACACCATATTGCTGGAGTTAGGTGATTCTCTGCGCCTCCTGGATGTTCTCACACCTCTAACCAAGGGATCCCAACACAGATGGGCCCATCCACACAACAGATGGACCTAATTTCAGCTCCAGCCTAGCCAGTTTCCCCATGAACTGAAACCAACCTAGGTCTCAGTATTATCCTGGTTTAGCTGCTTTTCAAAGATAAACTGAAACCTAGTAGGGTTAAGTAGCTTTTCAGAGATGACATAGGTGGGAAGTAGTAGGAACAAGAATTCAGACCTTGATTTCTCTTGAGAGAACTTGAACATCTTTGTTCTTCCTACTCCTGCAGGCTGTGCCCTTTTGCCTCTTACTCTCTCTGACCTCTCCTCAGATACGTGGGAAAGGCTTACTCCGACCTGCCCCCAGAGCAAGCCCCAGAGACCCACTTCTGAATAGGGAGACTAAGGCAGAGGTGGAGGGAAAGGGCTGAGCAGAGGACAGGAGGAGCCAGGGAGCCTGGGAGTAGGGCCTGGAGGATCACTGAAGTCATTGGCAGAGAGAGGGACTTGAAAGGTCTGTCATCAGGGACACCCTGCCCTCCCAAATGGTGCACTGGCATGGGCTACTGGTGCTCACTGCCAAAGTTAAGCACAGACAAGCTGCAGAGGTGAGAAGAAACTAACAAAAATCCAGTAGAGGGTTCCAGTTTCCAGTCTGGGATATAAGGAGCTTGGAAGTCATCACTCCCATCCTCAAAACAAGGAAACTTGAACACACTGAAAAGTCAACAACTTTTCTTAGACTAATCAGGGAATTTAGGTAACAGGGCAAACCACTGCTCTGAAAATTGGCGAAACAGGCAGATACACAGAGTCACAGCTTACGTGAGTGAAGCCCAGGAGTCGAAGCTAGATGCCAGAGCCAGTAGTGGTGCAGGAGAACTTACATTTTAATTGATGAAGTGCTGGAAGCTTGACGTAAATGAGCTTGAGAGTTAAAACTCCACGGGAGTCCAGTTGCAGGGAGGCCCCACACTTTCATGATTTTTCCTTCAGCAGCCTTATTAGGTTCTCAAAGCACAGATCAGAGAAAATCTCTTCCTGCTTCTAGTCGGGGGTGGGGGTGGGGGTGGGGGGAAGGGGTGGGGAGAGGGAGAATGTAACCATTTTGAAATATGCTCTGAGCATTCTACTCTACTTAACAAAAGCCTGCCCTCAAGAGAAACGATTTAAACAGAATGTAATCTATAGGGTTGTTTTTAATAGCCTGAGTGACTGTGGAAAAAGGGTAATCCCCAACTCCATTGCCCTCAACCGTTCCTGTCTCAACTCATGGAGGGAGTGGTACAGAGAATCAGTTGTGAAGGTCTCGGGTCCATGGACACAGGCCCACAGAGACCTAATTATAGACTACAGAATATATCCTACCCACCACAAACCTCACCACCACCTCTAATAGAGCTCCTATATAAGAGGGGATTACAACTAAAGGAAACGCATACCTTAGACCTTATTTAAGAAGTCTCTAGGGAAGTCCAAANAACGCATACCTTAGACCTTATTTAAGAAGTCTCTAGGGAAGTCCAAAGACAACAGGGGGGACAAAAACAAGGGTATGAGAAAAACTTTTATCCTCTGACACCTATAGCTATGCCAAATAGTAAGAAGAGTAACTACCAGCCAGATAAATATAAAATCTCACACTCAAGGCCTATCTACTTCAGTTTCTTTCACTCAGTCCACCACGTCCAGCTTTCGACGTAAAGCTGCAAGCCATAAAAAAAGACACACACATAAAAAAGCAGTTTGAAGGACAGAGCAGGCATCAGAATCCGACTCAATTATGGCAGACATACTGGTGCCCAGGAGTGGGATTGCTGGGTCGTATGGTAATTCTATGTTTCGTTTTTTAAGGAACCTCCATACTGTTCTCCATAGTGGCTGTATCAATTTACATTCCCACCAACAGTGCAAGAGGGTTCCCTTTCTCCACACCCTCTCCAGCATTTGTTGTTTGTGAAAACAGGGATTATTTAGAAGCGTGCATCTTAATTTCCAGACGTTTGGAGGCTCTCTACTTCTCACTCTCATTTTTATACAATTTAAAGCTTCGACTTTGGACACAGTGCAATAAAATGCCATTATGTTTGTTTAGTTACTTTAAAGAGGTCCTTCAAATATCACTGAAGTGAAGTTTTGAAATATTAATTTTACATAG